CATGAATATTGCTTATCAGCGACAGTTGAGTTTCATGCGTGCGGATGGCTCTTTCTCCCTTTTCCGTTCGGATTGGAACAACTCGGCATCTTCAGTGTGGTTGACAGCGTACTGTGTGCGCGTGTTCCAGGTGAGTGCCATTGTCGCATTATTATCTATCTATCTATATTTTAAGCGTATAACTGATTTATAACTATTTGTCTAATTTCACTAACAGGAAGCTTCATTCTATGAATGGGAAAACTTTATTTGGATTGATTCGACCATTATTGATAAAAATATGCGCTGGCTGTTACAACATCAAACACCGGAAGGCGCCTTCTACGAAGTCACCTGGTTGCCCGATCGCAAAATGAATCGAACGAATTTCGCAAATAATACCAGCCTACAAAACCGCAATATAACACTAACATCGCATGTGCTAATCACATTGGCTTCGGTTAAAGATCTTTCTGGTTCGTTGGGTGCACGCGTTGCTCTCGCCCAACAACGCGCCATATCGTGGATCGAGCGTAATATGCAATTTTTGGAAGACACTGAGGAACCATATGACGTTGCCATAACCGCATATGCGCTGTTACTCTGCAAATCACCAATGGCCGAGCATGTATTTTCCATACTGCGGCGACATGCACGCGTGATAGGCGATTTCATGTACTGGGGTAGTAAAGAGGTGCCGCAACCGCCAAAGAAATTAGAAAATCAAAAATGGTTCTCACTGCCGCGTCTACCGTACGAGTTTGACGCTTTGAATATCGAAACGACGGCGTATGCTTTGTTGGTTTATGTGTCGCGGCGTGAATTCATAGTGGATCCGATCGTGCGCTGGTTGAATGCTCAGCGTCTAAACGATGGTGGCTGGGCGTCCACACAAGATACGAGTGCAGCTTTACGTGCGCTGGTTGAGTACACCGTGCATTCGCGTATACGTGAAGTGTCCTCGTTGACCGTTGAGGTGGAAGCTTCATCGCAAGGCGGCAAAATACAAGCGCTCCACATTGATGACACAAATTTGGCGCAACTGCAGTCCATTGAGGTGCGTTATTGTCCAAAAAATATAGATATTTTTTTTGCTCTGTGTCTTCTTCATGAAATTTGACATGACAGCGTTAACGCATTCAAAAGAAAAATTTTCAGATCGGATCACTATAGCATATAGTTTCCATACAAACCGAACGTTCGAAATTAAGTTCTTATATGGAAAATATTTTTATTTATCGAGATATCTTCACGAAACTTAACCTGTATTACTTTCTAAGGCAACATTACGATATCCGAAACAATTTTTCAGATCGGACTACTAAGTTTAAAAGCATTTTTGCTTATCGAGATATCTTCACGAAATTTTACATGTATTAGTTTCTAAGGCAGCATTACGATATCCGAAGAAATTTTTCAGATCGGACCACCATAACATATAGCTGCCATACAAATTGAATGAACTAAATTAAGCTCTTGTATGAAAAACATTTTTATTTGTAGAGGTATCTTGATGCAATTTGGCACAGATAGTTTTCCGAGTTAACGGTATGATATAAAAAATTTTCGAGATCAGAGTACTATATAATAGCATATATGTAGCTGCCATACAAACTAAACAATTGAAAACAATTTCTTGTATAAAAAATATTTTTATTTGTCTTGTTTTGATAACATTATACATGAATTCTTATCGAAGGCAGCGTTACAATACGTCTAAAAAATTTTCAGATCGGACTACTGTAACATATGAAACGAAATAAAATTTAAAAAATTGAACGATATAAATTAAGTTCTTGTATGATAACTTCTAAATTTGTAAAGAGTATACTAGTTTCACTGCAGCCGAAGTTAACATTTTTTTTTTTTTTTAACTAAATTATGTTCTTTTTGTAACAGATACCGGAATCCTGGGGAACAGTTAAAGTGCAAGCTAAGGGCGCCGGTTATGCGATATTACAAATGCATGTGCAATACAACGTGGACATAGAGAAATTCCAAACAAAACCGCCAGTGCCAGCCTTCGGCCTGCACACCCGCGCCATTTTCCACGGCAGAAATCAGTCGCACATATCCTACATTGCTTGTCAAAAGTAAGACCATAAACGAAATGTCTTTATTTAATCACTGCAAAAATCTCGATTCACTTTTTAGTTGGGTCAACACACGCGAATCGGAACGCTCTGGCATGGCAGTGCTGGATGTCGCCATTCCCACCGGCTATTGGATACAGCAGCAGCGACTCGATCATTATGTGCTGAGCAATCGCGTGCGCAATTTGCGACGCGCTAAATATTCGCATCAAAAAGTCATCTTCTACTTTGACTATGTAAGTCTTTTGACCCCACAAGTTTATGGATATATTATTTGAATATGTTTTACTTAAATACACACAGCTCGACCACGAAGACATTTGCGTCAACTTCACCATCGAACGCTGGTACCCAGTGGCGAATATGTCGCGCTACCTGCCCATACGCGTCTATGATTATTATGCGCCTGGTGAGTAATAGCTAAAATATTCTATATAGCATGCTATAATTATTTTTCGAGCAAACTAAGTAACGGTTAAAATGTATTTTTCTTTCTTTGTGCTTTTTAGAACGCTTCAACGAGTCTATATTCGACGCCTTGCCTACATATTTGCTGAACATCTGCGAGGTGTGCGGCAGTTCGCAATGCCCCTACTGTTCGATTTACAATATGGGCTGGCGCGCCACAATGTCCGTGTCACTAGTGTTCTTCAGCGTATTTATTTATCTGATGCGCAGTCGAATGCATATCGTTTTGAATTGTCTACATTTACTCACCTAGTGCGCATATGCCATATTTGAAAAAAAAAAAACACACAACAAACACTTTTGTGCCTTCTCTTTAAAGTTCTTTCACTTCCATAATTTGAATTTGAATTTTGAAAATTTTAGTTTAGAAACGTATTCTTGAAATTTTCCGCAATCGTATTTAAATTTTATTTTTTAATGTGTTCACAAATTACATACATACATGAGTAAATGCATAGTTAAGCTAGAAAAGACAAATATGTATAATAGATTGGCTCAATTAGCCTTATTGTACCCTCGAATCTAATTTATATGTGAGTTACCAAGTCGATATAAGTTTTATTTTTTTGATGCAGCTTAATTGCCAGCGCAGAGCTCAGCAAACGTATTCCGTCCAACACTGTGGCGCCGTCTCTTATTTTGCTACCAATTAACTATATTTTAGAAACTTTTTGTTTGTGTTAGTGTAGTGCATTTTTAAACTACGATTTACTTTAGTTGAAAGTCTTAAAATATGATTAAAACGCATGAAAAATGAAACCAATAATTATTGTATGTTAAGTAAAAAACAGAAAATCTCACATGTACAAAGCTAAAATAGCTGATATTAAACAATAGCATTTGCAGCGAATCTCGATTACTAAAGTGTCTTAGCGCATATCATTGCAAGGAAAAGTGTACTTTTTGTACTAAAGTCATAAATGGTTAATCAATTTTATTCGATTAACCGTCTTTTTTTATATTGAAGTTTGTATTGTTGAAAACAAAAAAGTATGAAATCTACAGTAGCAATAAGTTATGTAACGTACATGGTCTTATAAACACACAACTGCATAAAACTTACATACACATACATATACATGTATGAATAACTAATTAAACCGATGTTAAGTTGACACTGTAAAAAGTATATGTAATTTATATACCATATACACACACTACTACATACAAAGAAATGTTAAGCAAACAATTTGCAAACGAAAAGCTTTTATAAGACATGTTTTATAAGCGATAATTGTATCCGTCCTTTTTATGTGAAAAATCGAATGAATAAATAAAAATTTAACTTTTTTCACTAATATTAGAAAAAATATACTTTTTGTTGTTGTAGCGGCAGAAAACATGAATGCTGCCCTTGGCCGGATAAAATTTCGGGACCGTTCCGTTAACGTAGACCTGACGATTAGATAGTACATTTTTGTTTCTTTTGTTGTTATAACGATTATCCAGACCCTGCTAATATAACTGTCATCGAAACACTTAAAGGTGGCCAAAAAAGTGTTGGCATTGTACTGTCTCCGCCGGAGTGAACATCCTTTGGAATACTGTCAAAAGCATGTCCTATTGTGACGAAGAAGTTTAGAGTGCCATTAACAAATCAAGGGCATTGAGATCCATCGACCAAGAAGGAATAAATATATTGATGCTGAAACACATAGGCTCGATGGGTGCATCTCACCCAGGTCCACAATTTGTCAATGACTACCCTTCACATGCCCGATATGTGGAAAAACGAAAGGATGGTCCCACTATTGTAACCTGGATAGCTTGTTAACCTAGGGCAGTCTTATCGTCCGATAACTCTAATTTCGCCGGAAGTGAAAGGACTTGAGGTCTTTCTAATCCGGATGTGAGCCTAGTCGCACATGGCTGGAACAATTTTTGATAACATTTCGATTTTTTAAGACATCTGATGTGAAAAAAAAACATTTTTTTTTTGGAAAAGTGCCATTTTTTGAAAATCAAAATTCTAACTTGTTCTTCGAACATTACCTGAATCCGTAATAGGTTTTTTTTTGATTATAGGATACGAGATAATTTTAAGCAGAAAAAGCTTCCTTGTCGACAGCCACCTTTTTCGAAGATTCTTATTATTAGATCCTCCAAATAACAGTTTTTATATGGATAGAGTCGGGGACAATTCCGGTAACGTAGAACCGGCCGTTGTGAGAATTCTTCGGAAGATCCTCTTATTGTTGTGCAACAGATATCTGCCGTGTAGACAGTCCCAGGCCGTATTAAAAATGTCTCCTTTCCGATTTCGAAGATGTTCGTGGACTTGATCCCGTGCCATATCAAAAACTTTATCGGAATTAATCGCAGATTATTAAAACATATTCAATACTGTAAATGTGCTTTCTAAAAAAACGGGATTCTAAAAATTAAAAAATATAGTTTTTCTGATTTGCAGTGGACATAACCTCTTAATGATTGTTTATGTTATACATGGATACATTTCACTATAGGTATATTATTATTTTATTAATACATATAAGTGGGTGACACATGGAATATAATTTTTTTTGCTTTAAGATTAAAGTTAGGCAATAACATATGTGAACTAAGTAATAGTAAATATAAATCAAGATTTTGTTTTGCATTCCTATCGTTTGTGTTTTTCGCGTGAAGTTCCTTCACTATATATGACATATGAAACTAACGGTTTGAACGCTTACGAAATGAGCTACACAATAGCTTCCGTTTCCGCTGTTGTAGTTGTGTCATTATCATTTGGCTCTGAAAGCGTTGTCGGCGCAGGCGAGGCTGCTGAGGAACCGGATTCGGGCATTTCGGGTAGATTTTCCATGGTCGCTAGCGGCGTAACACCGCCCTCAAACGACACACGCTTCTCGAAGCTTATGCGTCTCGCTTGCGCCGCTTCCTCGTTCGAAGAGGTGCTGGTCTTGCGCGTCGCCGCTGAGAAGTTCACAATACCTTCTGTGGCTAGAATGCTTGCGCTGGACAATAATATAGACACCTGCTCGGCTGTTGGACAACCGGTGATGGTCATATCGTCGTTATTGAAACCATTTGTGGAGAGCAATTGCTCCAGTTTGACGAATGTTTGAATGATGTTATTCTGTCGAAATGTAAGGTTAAATATGTTGTACACTTAGCGATTCAGTAAACCAATACTTACACGTATCGGACGAAAGATTATAAACTCTGTATCGCGATTGCTTAAGTAGAGTTGCATGGAACGTTGTAGTGACGACAATTTATTCTTTATTAGACGCTGTGTCTCTTGAATTACACTGCTAATTTGCTGTGGGCTCGCCCACGCGCTCTGTCTTAAAGCGTAGTTCACTTTTGTCGTGGCTGTTCCATCTTTTTCATTTCCACCACCTTTGTTATCTTTAGTTTGTAAGAGCGTTTGCGCTTTATCTAGAAATTTTAAAATGGGCGAAACAAGCATTTGCACTGCATCCTTTATAAATTGTTCGCACACCATTTTCAGATGACGATCGACTTCTTTACGCGAGTCCAACAAATGCTCCTTAATTTGTGGCGTGCCCTCAAGCAAAAATTCGAGTAGCGCATTATTGCTGCCCATTGAGAAGAGCTGTTTGCGCTTTTGTAGCAGGCCAAATGCTGCTGTCTTCACCTTGCTGAAGTCCAACGATGTCTCTTTAATGGTGAAATCGACACGAAAAGGCGCTATTTGCTCGCGCAAAATAAGGAGATGCTTTATTTCGAAAAGTTCGCCGTCTATGGGAGTCTATGGTTTAGTTATAAGAGACATTAGTGTAGAATTAGAGTATAGGTATATAAAAATGTTTCATACCTTGGCTGCGGAAATTTTCGTTGCTGCAGCGGAGACACTTTGGATGCAGAGTTTTAGTGCCTCCTGAGAGAGTCCTTGAAATATGGGACGATCTACGCAGCGGTACAAGCGTGAAAGACAAACCAATGTGCGGCGTACGGTTGGATACCACATGCCATGGAGGTCGGCAGGAGAAGAGTCTGTCAAATGTATATTGTATATTATTAGTAATTATGCACCTCATACGTTTGATTTTGTTAATTTACTTATGTTTCGTTGTCGATTTACGGTGTCGATGCTTTCCGTTTCTATTGCACTTGAAATGCTCGAATTAAGCGATGAACGCGAATCATAACGTCTTATATGCTGCGTGTCCTGTAGAGACAAAGCGATGCTCTCCATCATTTCCAGCTTATCTGGGTAAGCCAGATCGCCAGCTGATGGATTATAATTTAAAATGTCCGATTGCAAATAAAGATGCGCACGAAACACCAAACGCTCCTGAACATCCTGAAGTAGTTGATTTGCAGTGTTCGCAAAAGCTTCCAGTGCGCCAGCTTTTTCGAAAATAATTTTTTTTTAGTAAAATTTTCAAACAATGTTTGAAGTATGGAAAATAACTTACGGTTTTGTTGCACGTGCTCCTCAAGCATTTCTATGCGTAAAATGGAACAAATTTCTGCCAAAGTTTCCAAGTGGTTAATGTGTATAATGAAGGGACGCATTGTGTCATACAATATTGTGCAAAGTCCCTCCAAATAAGTGCTAGAAAATAAAAATAATTTTACAAAAAAAATCAAATATAATAATAATAATAAGGAAACACTAAAAATTGTGA